GGTCTCTTTCCAATTCTGCAATTCTATCATGATAACAATGGTAATGAGTTCAAACTTCCCTAAATGTCAAATGTTGTATAGTCACAAGGAAGATAAGAATACATGTCATATATAAGAAACTTATAATCAGTATTTGCTGTCTCCAGTAACATGGAATGAGAGGCCCTAAGTTACATGTGGGGGCTTTAGCTTGCAGGAACATTAAACAGAAGTAAAAGCACAAGAGGCATGTTATATATAACAGAAACCATTGCTATCGAGCTACTGAAGGGGTTTCCAGGTAGAAACAAAGCTAGACCATGTCCTTTCTTTGATCAAAATAGTCAATTTTGCCAGCTCTGCCAATTCCATTAATTTCAATATCCATTCTTCTGTTGTGGGTATTTGTAAGTCTTTCCTTTAGACATCTTAGCTAATTTATCCAGTGTCAAATACCAATGACACATCATTTTATTAAAGTTTTCTTTTAAGTGATAGTTAAGAGTCAACCTCAAGCCTTTATTCCACAGGATTTCCCATTATTCCAACATAGTATATCCAAAAATATTTGCCCACTTAAACATACAGTCCTTAACATATAAATCTTCCATTTCATCTTCAACAAAAGTTTGTATATTTTAGCAATAACATATTCATTATTAGTACATAAAGCATATTCAGAGTCAGTTTTCTCACATGTAATTTCGTAACTTTTCTTATCCACTTTAAATCTTTCAAGCAGTTGTACATAAGGAAACTATTGACAGGTATAACCTTCCAATTCTAATTCTTCCGTCTTCTTCAGTTTAGGTCGTTTTTCAGAGAACAATAATAAATTCGCATATGTCAACCATGCTTGTTTAAATGCCATTTCTCTTCTCTAAGAAGCTTCTTGAGGTGACAACCACAAAGGCATTTTAGGAGTCAATCTTACTTTCTATCTATTCCAAATTCTCAGTATAGCACATCTAATAAAATGATTCCTGAAATCAATATTAACTTTTGCTTTGTCACACCATAAATATCCATGCCATCCAAATCTTAAATCACATCCTTCTAATTCCAATAACCTCTTGTTTTTTAGAGTCACCCACTATTTCATCCGTACAAGACAACAAGGATCAACATATAATTTTAAATCTGGAAGACATAACCCACCTCTTTCTTTAGATTCCTGTAAAAGTCTGTATTTTATCCTTGCTTTTTTATCTTCCCATATGAATTTAGACATATCTTTTTGCCATTGTTTAAATGGTATATCAGTTGTCAATATCAGCATTGTCTGGAAAAGAAATAACATTCTAGGTAAAACTTTCATCTTACTTACTGGAATTCCACCAAACAATGAAAATTGTAACTTTTCCCATCCCAATAGATCTTTTTGATATATTTCCAAACTTTCACATAATTACTTTGATGCAACATACCGTTCATATTATTCAGTATAATCAACAAGTATTTAGGCTTTTTCTCAATTTTAAGACTAGACCTTTCATCAATATTTCTTAATCATGTACAGTCATATTTTGAACCAACGTCTGTTTTTTTTTTTATTTACCTTAAATCCAGCTAAAAAATCGAAGTC